GTTGTTCAGGAGAACCTGAAACCATCAGCAGAAGGTTGATCTTAGACACAGTTGGATGTTCCAACCAGACAATGAGCCCAAACACACATCAAAGTGGTGAAGAAATGGTTCCATCAGGCTGGAATGAAGGTTCTAGACTGGTCTCCCCAAAGTCCTGACTGGAACCATCCAGAACCTGTGGACTGATGAAGGAACAAGTCTGAGTCAGAAAGACGCCGAGTTTAGTTGAACTGCAGCGGTTCTGTCCAGAGGAGTCAGAGATGGACCAGAAGCTGGTGGACGGAACCAGAAGCTGGACTCATCAGACAGACGAAGAGCAAAACATCAGAACAATATGAAGCTTGAACGTCAGTCAGTGAAACAGATGAAGCAGCTACAGCAGTGAGTTCTTCCATCTCTGATTGTCTGGTCCTGACTCTGCCCTCCTCCCTCCAGGTGTTCGACCTCCACTCGGGTCCGAAGCCGGTGGTGTTCGTCCTCCACTCCTTCCTGTCGGCCAAACTCACCCGGATGGGCCTTCTGACGTGAAGCGACCGGCGCCGGCAGCGTAGACAGAAGGATTTCATCCTTCTTCTTCTTCTTTGTCTTTATTTTTTTTTATCTTGTCTTTCCAGTTCCTCCGTTCACAGCTGAAGCTAGAGCCGAGGCGGCGCTGCAGGGAACGTCTAACCCATCGCTGATTGTCTCAACCACGTGCCTTCTCTTCCAGCTTCTCCAGACGGAAGGGGCACTTCGCTTCAAGCGTTAGAAAACACATCGCTGTTAACAAGCTCACAACATTCCAGGTTCTAGCTGTGCTCACGGGACTGCGACGCCTCAGAGCGCCACTGAAACGTGTCCAGGAAGGCTTTTGTAGACACTTTGTTCTCTGCCTATCATTCCACAGCAGCCTTCCGTCTCCTCTGGGCTCTTCTTGGCGTCGCTGTCCGTCTGTAGGCCAGAGGCTGTTCTAGATGCCGAGTAGAGAAGAAGACGAGCGGCGTCGATGCTCCTCGCTCCTGCTGGCTGGATAGTGTGCCTGCACATTATCCCAAACTACTGTCAGGATGCCGTCTGTGCCTTTTTCCAACGTGTAGTGAAAGACTCTCTTTATAACGTTTTCCTGTTTTTGTTTTTTATGTCACGATGAGAGGACTGAACGCTTCGGACATGCACAAGCAATAGTATTACTCTGATAGTGTAACCCAGTGACTACGTTTGTTTTCTACCTGTATATCTCCTGATAGCATGACTCTCTGACAGATATATGACGTGATACCTCCCCTCCTCCACCCACACTACCGCCGCCGCCGCTTCACTTCCCTTCGCTTGAGATGATGCGTCTTTGGTCACAGCAGAGGAACCGATGTGTTCAGTCACGTCTCTGTTCGCTTGTTTCAGTCATTTGCTTCATAACGTCTTATTTCAGTGACTTTAACCCTCTGAACTGCAACACTTTCTGCTCCGTCTCCTGGTCCTTCACTGAGGTCCAACATAAAGTCCTGCAGCTCTGTGGAACCAGAACGTGAAGCAGGAGAGAGAGAACTACTCAGCAGGACTCAGAACCACAGAACAACATTTCTTTAAAAAGCTGAATTTCTTTGATTATTAATTTACAAAAATTGATAAAACCTGAAATCAGGATTTTTTGAAGGTAGTTCCGTCCATCATCTCTACACCTTNATCCCTTGACTGAATGTTAGCACGCTTTGGTGTTTTGAAAGCGGACGGAGGAGATGAGGGTTTGTTGATCAGTGCATGTTTCTGCAGGTTTAATGGTAAAACTGACTTTTGGATGAATGTTTGAAACATTGCTGCTGCTACAAGTATTAGCTTCTGTATCGCATCAAAAAAAAATGAATGGCAACAGAAAAATGTGTAAAAAAGATCTTCCTGCGCTGGTTTGAAGTGTTGTTTGGCTTTTCAACTTTTCTCTAAGTCCTGATCTAGTGAACACGATCAGCTGTTCTGTTCTTCGTTGTCTTTCTCCTGGAGCACCATGAAACCTGCTCGGTATCAGCGGACATGACAGAACATTTAGAGCAGTTCCTGAAGTCTCCACGTTCCTCCGTGCTGTTTGTTTCTTCGTCCAGGTTTTTAGCAGCTGTCAGACTCTGTCGTCCTTTCTGCTTCTTCTAGTCTGTTTATTACAGCCAACGTTGTCTTTAGCGCCACCTGCTGACGACGCTGCAGTTATTCAGTCCAGAGCAGCTCATGGACTGGGTTTCCGTTCCACTGGTCCTGACAGATTCATGCTGCTGATGTCACTGTGGTGGTCCGTCTGTGTGAATGCTCGGTGTTGATGGCTGTAGTCTTCAGTGAACACCTCGTTCCAGCAGCTACAGACCACAGAAGCTCCACAGTCATGTTGTGTTGTTGTGACTGAGCAGCGTTCACGTTGCTGCTGGTTTGTTGTCAGCGGAGCTCCGACAGCTTTGTTCAGAAGAATTCATGTTTCCAGAGAGAACGTTTGTTCACAGACTGAGCTCGGAGGTTTTTTCCAGGTGAGCTCAGATGAAGCTTCTTCCTCTAAAGGCCACAGTTCAGCGATCTGGAGGGAAGCAGCGACAGAAAGAGCAGCTCTGTCTGTGCAGGAAAAGCAGAAGTGGGAGGCAGCCGAGGGGAATGTTTCCACTCTGAGCAGAACAATAGCTGGCCGGCGCCGCGGCGCTGGAAAGCTTCAGCCGCTTTCATTCTGCTTCTCCGTCCGGCTGCTGCACAAACACACAGTTGTGCAGAAACATTCGAGCCAGTCCAGTTACAGTAACACACATGCAAATGCTTGGGGATCGAATAACCCCACAGTCATCCTGCAGGAGATCCAGTTGTCTCTGGGCCGCCGCTCGGCACCGCCGCTTATATAAAAGTGGGTTTGGTCAGCTGTCAATAAGTAGGTCAGCTGAGGGGATCTGGAGTCACTCAGCCGGGGCAGAAACCCGGTTTTAGCCATTCAGCCACATTTGGAGCTTTCTGGGGTGTTTGTGTTCTGAAAAGCACAAACAGAACATGTGAGGATGGGTTCCTTTGATTCTTAGAACGTCAGTGTGGGTTTTGGTGTTTTCTGACGTTCACCACACCACCTCCTGCAGGATGATTTAAGGCTCTCTCCTTGTCGTCCTGTCCTCCAGGCTGCACGCTGAACCGGCAGGACGTTCGGCTGACGCTGCACTACGAGAAGGGCTTCACGGTGACGAGGGAACCGGCCGACCCAGCGGGGGGCGCCGTGCTCTTCAGATACCCCTACGAGAAGCTCAAGATGTCCGCCGACGACGGAATACGCAACCTGTACCTTGACTTCGGGGGTCCAGAGGGAGAAATGGTAAATGATATAGTCTAGGTCCACTTATAGAGAACTGGTGTATGAGGGCCGTCTGTCGTCTCCAGTGACTCCTAGAACTCTGAATCTTCTCTGACGGAACCATTGAAACGTGAATCTCTGTCTCAAAAAACAATCCTGTAGTTTGGTTGCTTCATAGGTTTATTTTAGGTTTTCTAGAAATGTGACAGAATCATTTGGGTCAAAAACATTCTTACGAGAGCTGTGGGTTGTTGGTGATGCAGGACGTTGTGTTGATCTGATGTTCTTAGCAGCTTCGTTACTCCTCATGTTACTGAAACACAAACTAGCAGCTGCTGCTGAGAGACGACTGGTCAGGATGGTCAAGAGTCAACCAGGAA